TTACAGCTAAACATCAGTAAAACTTAAGGAATGCAGATCGATTTTCGAAAAAATCCACCTGTCCCAAAACCCACTTTCATTAATGGTACAGCTGTAGAGATTGTAGGGCAGTACGAGTGTTTGGGAACCATGTTGGATAACAAACCGACCTTTGGGGCCAACACGGACTGCATTTTTATAAATAAAATGTATTATTACATCTACAAAAAAGCCAACCAGAACCTGTTCTTTTTAAGGAAGCTGAGAGATTTCAGTGTTGACAGTTCGCTTTTAAAAATGTTTTATTCCTCCTTTATTGAGTCAATCCTAACTTTTGCAGCATGGTACGGGCACCTTATCATCACTAATAAGAATCGGCTGGGGATCCTTGTCAAACTTTACCGAAAACCCGCTGGCAGTAGCCTGCAGCAGCTTGACAGTGCTTATCAAGTAAGAGCCATTCAGAGGGCGACGGTCGTCTTAGCCAACCACACCACCCTCTGTATGCTGAGTTTCAACTTTTCTGTCTGGAAAGAGGTATACTTTCCATGAGAGGGCCTTCTCAAACAGATACCTCAGATCATCTGTTCCCTCCGCTGTAGGGTTTCTAAATAAGCTTTAGGCTTGTGTCCTTGCACCGTACATGTATGGTCACGATAACTCACCTGATGACATTCATTATTTACATCCATGTTTCTATGTTTTGTTCTGTTTTATGGGATGAACTTCATTGTCGACTGCTGTTGCAAATCAAAGACTTTCTAATGTAATGTAATCTAATTAGGACAAATAGTGATTTATTGACAACATTTCCATGGAATAACTTGTGACAGTGTTTGACTTCGACCTCACCCAGTCAGCCAGAGGTTGGTTTAATATTTAGAGATGATTATAAACAATACATATAATTTACTGCTGAACATGTGTCTGTTTCTTAATCATCTGGTTATGCAGTAATAGAATCTGCTATTTATTTAAGTGCATACTGGCCCAGACCTGTGTTACATGGTTATGTTGTGCTGTCACATTTATTATTCTGTATCCTTCTTAACCACTTACATTTACGTCCCTGAATGAGACAAAGTTTAGTTTGTTGATTCCAGCAGTCGAGGACTATTTCCTCTGAGTTCATTAAATAGCTGCAGCATCGGACAGAAGCAGGATTTATATTTAGAGTGTCTCTTAAGAAAGATTAACGGCAGTAACTTCAATAATTATAATGATAAAAGATCCCGACATGGAGACAGGATGGATCAGGATCTACCAGCAACGTCACAACTTTTATTCAGTTCATCAGCTGCAGGTAAATCATTTGGTCCATCGCGGTCGTCCTCGTGTTGTACTGTTGGTAAATTAGCAGTTGGAACATCATCACACATGGACGAGAGAACTCGGCTGTTAGTTGTCTGGACAGTTTGCTAAGCTTGTTATTCGTATAGATTTAGACTTTTATTAGCACTTTATTATATTTTAAAAGTACCATGATGTCTGACCTGGGGTAAACCCACATTCAGTCCCACATGCTTCCACGTGTGGCTAAATTCTGAGTTTATGCATCCTCTCAGAAACTCCTGCACTCAAACACACTCCCACGTTGCATTTGCTCATTAGCAGTGAAACACAAAATACTGTCGAGGACGATGAGAATATGTTGCAGGTCACAAACCAAATTACTGGACAAACTGGGGAATTTTTACAGCAAAACTCTCCTTGAAGTTTTTAGTAGATAACGTAAAGCGAACCACCTGATTTGTCATTTCAGGGGCTTTTTGATTGTGTTTTACAGAAAAAAAAACAGACAAATACTGCTTTTTATCTCTATTATATCATCAAGCAGTGGTTTTACTGTAGGTGAGGCTGTTTGGCGTCATGGTTCAGGTTGTGGGTGGTTTGAGGACAGGAAACCGAACCGTCAAATCAGGTCAAAGCAGCGTTTTGTGCTTAAATAGAAACTGACAAATAAATGGAGTTTGGGGTGAATTCTGGAACATTTTAATGACGTGTGAAGACATAAGCAACCTGTAGAAACGGCTTTGTTTAGGTACCATTTGGAAATTTACAGCAAGATCAGCTGGAGCGGTCGGATCAGAACATTAAGTTTATGGCTTGAACACTTTGCTGAGTTTCGTGCTGCGCTGAGGTAAACGTTGGACTAAGAAGCCTATTACAGCTCATCATGGCTGACCTGAACTGATCTAGTCACACATCTGAAAGGCAGCAAAGGCAGAGAAGGAACATCAATATCTCTAATTTGTGTTGTTTTCTTGCCGTGGAAACACTTTTTATTCTTCTGTTTTTCTTTAAGATTTAAATTATTGGACGGCTCAGGGAGCTGATGGCGGAAAAGGAAAAGTTACCAAAGATGTTGCAGCAGATTTTCATTAATAACCCCAAACTTGAGCGTTGTGATGATGCTACAGGAACGCTGGTGCCACCATAAAAGTCAACCGCTAGGGACCGTGAATGTCTGCCCAAATTTTTATGAACCACATGAAAAGGAATAAGAGAAACTGAGATGATGCTACAACTGCAAAAAAACAAAAGAAGGAAGAGCGTAACAGCACTCGGCCCTGTTTTTGCACAATGTCTTTCTGATCTTTATGAGCTCATCATGGCTGACCTGAACTGATCCAGTCAAACGGATCGGAGAATAAAACACAGATTTGAAAGGCAGCAAAGTGGGAAAACGAGGTCTCAGAACATCAGTATCTCTAATTTGTGTTGTTTTCTTGCTGTGGAGACACTTTGATTTCTTTGGCCTCCTTTAAGATTCGATCATATTTTGGATTATTCGCCATAATTTTTGGACAGATTTGGAATGGAACTTGGGCCTGACCGTGGTGCTCGAGGAAACGTTACCAGAGCTGCTACAGTTCAGTGCAGCAGATTTTCCTTAATAACCGCAAATCTGAATGTAATGACGGTCGTACGGGAACGCTGGTGCAACACGATCAATAAAATCCAACCGCTAGTGACCATTAATGTCTGCCCAAATTTTTATGAACCACATGAAAAGAAAAAAAGAGAAACTGAGATGATGCTAAAACTGCAAAAAATAAAAAAAGAGAAGAAGAAGAGCCGAACAGCACCCGGCTCCGTTTTGCACAACGTCTTTATGACTAATACAAAAAGCAAAAAGCTCATCATGGCTGACCTGGAGTGATCCAGAGAAACGGATCGGGGAATAAAATTCAGATTTGAAAGGCAGCGCAGTGGGAAAACGAGGTCTCGGAACATCAATATATACAATTTGTGCTGTTTTTCTTGCGGTGGAAACTGTGGATTTCTTCAGGATTTGATCATATTTTGGATTATTCGTCAGATTGCTGGACAAATTAGTGAACTCATGGTGGAAAAGGAAAGTTTTTACAGTTCAGTGCAGCAGATCTTCATCAATAACCACAAATTTCAGCTTTCTGATGGCGCTACAGGAACGCTGGTGCAACACAGTCAATAAAGCTCAACCTCTTGTCACCATCTGCCCAAATTTTAACGAACCTCGTCAGCCACTGCAGGGCTAAAAATATTTAAAAAGAAATG